CAGAGACTTTCATTGTTTAGGCTATTTGGTGCCGAAAGTTTGGCCTTCTTTATGATGACGTAGATTTTCATATATATGAAATTAACCCCATTTTGTGAATAAACCAGCCAGGAGGCTTTGTCGTACAAAGATCCCGTTTTGCCTGAGACTGATTCCTATCACTCACTCTCGAAAACAACCAAAACAGAAGCTAAACCAGGATCAAAGCAGGACCGAGGACGGGGGTCATAAGTCTTTACCTTGAGTTTCTTCTATGACTGTAAAAGTGCCGCTATACAAGTACAGTCAGCTCTAGATCATACACGGAATCTGGACAGAAGCGGAAGTAAATATAACAAACTACCTATTCATGCCTAAACTTAACCAGTCATTCCCATAAAATAACCCCAACCTACCCTAACCTTAACCATCTTACTCAGACGCCTAAAACTTAACCAGTCACCACTTAAGGACTTTTTAGTCTAAAACTGATTCAAAAGTACGAGTGTTACTTCCGGTTTCGTCCTGATTCCGTATATGATCTAGTGCCGACCATAGAAGTACAGTCAGCTCTAGATCATATACGGAATCGGGACGGAAGCGGAAGTAAATATGACAAAATACCTATTCATGCCTAAACTTAACCAGCCATTCCCATAAAATAACCCCAACCCAGCCTTAACCCTAAACTTAACCATCTCACTCAGACACCTAAAACTTAACCAGTCACCATTTAAGGACGTTTTAGTCTAAACTTATTTGAAAGTAGGATTGTTACTTCCGGTTCCGTCCTGATTCCGTATTGACCCCTTGCATGTGACGTCACGGCCACGCCCACTCTCCATGACAGACGGCAGAAGTCTAACTGCGAGCCTACGGACACCTGACCAAAACAACCTGTTTCAGCGCATTACAGCCAAAACTGTGACATTTTGCAGTGCGGTTGATTATACTAACAGGCAAGGACATAAGCTTTTTTATCTGATACCTGCTCGTCATGAAGACAGAAGACGACGATGGCCAGCGGCAATCAACAAAAAGGACTGGGACCCATCCAAGTACTCCCTAATATGTAGTGAATACTTTTTACAAGATAAAGCAATCACAAGTTTGTATTTATTTTATTTCCATTAATTTGGAGGACAATGACACACGTCAAACGTGTCTCTTACTACTGCCCTGTATGTGTGCTGCAACATTGACATTTTTATCTTTTAAGTCAATTGCGTGTTTCACTATTTTCCTCTCCGTCAGTACGTATCATGTTTGGCTGTAGACAGAAAAGCCACAGAAAAGTGGACTATTGCTAATGCTACCAGCAAAATGTACATAAATCTGCTCCAGTGTGAGGGGATGCATTGTTAACGATAAAGATTAAGATCATGTAGGGTGAATTTGGACAAAAATAGACATTTTATTTAATCGATAAAATTGACTGGGGGGAGAAGGTACGGGTCAACATCCAGTTAGGCGATCCTTAACTTCTCCAAATACCACTCTTTGTGAGCCCTGACCTGATGTCCTACTTCCACCTATAACGTAATCGAACATGTGCTTGAAGCAGCCACTTCTCGATTTAGGAGAGGAAGCTCCGTTTTTAAGAGTTGTGTCCGTTTTGCTCTCGTAGCAATGCTAGTTTCCAATACTTCTGCCGTAAGCTCATTCACAATCACGTGACTGGATGACGTTGATGCCTCTGGTCAATATGATCTAGTGCCGACCATAGAAGTACCGGCGTCAGCATCAAAGCTCCACCCACTTCTGTGTTTTTCCCCAACGCAGGACGTCAGACGACGCACATGTTTGGAATGTTAAGAATGTGAACGAAAGCGCAGATGTTCGGTTATTTGTGGATGCAAATTATTTTACAGTATTACGAAAGTATTTGGCCCCCTTGAACCTTTCAACATTTCGCCACATTTCAGGCTTCAAACATAAAGATATAAAAATGACATTTGTTGTCAAGAATCAACAACAAGTGGGACACAATCGTGAAGTGGAACGAAATTTATTGGATAATCTAAGATTTTTTAACACATAAAAAACTGAAAAGTGGGGCGTGCAATATTATTCGGCCCCCTTGCGCTAAAACTTTGCAGCGCCACATTGTGCTGCAATTACAGCTGCAAGTCACTTGGGGTATGTCTCTATCAGTTTTGCACATCGAGAGACTGGAATTCTTGCCCATTCTTCCTTGCAAAACAGCTCGAGATCAGTGAGCTTGGATGGAGAGCGTTTGTGAACAGCAGTCTTCAGCTCTTTCCACAGATTCTCGATTGGATTCAGGTCTGGACTTTGACTTGGCCATTCTAACACCTGGATACGTCTATTTGTGAACCATTCCATTGTAGATGTGGCTTTATGTTTTGGATCATTGTCCTGTTGGAAGATAAATCTCCGTCCCAGTTTCAGGTCTTTTGCAGACTCCAACAGGTTTTCTTCCAGAATGGTCCTGTATTTGGCTCCATCCATCTTCCCATCAATTTTAGCCATCTTCCCTGTCCCTGCTGAAGAAAAGCAGGCCCAAAGCATGATGCTGCCACCACCATGTTTGACAGTGGGGATGGTGTGTTCAGGGTGATTAGCTGTGTTACTTTTACACCAAACATATCGTTTTGCATTGTTTGGTGTGTGTCCCAGGTGGCTTGTGGCAAACTTTAAAAGAGACTTTTTATGGATATCTTTGAGAAATGGCTTTCTTCTTGCCACTCTTCCATAAAGGCCAGATTTGTGCAGTGCACGACTGATTGTTGTCCTATGGACAGACTCTCCCACCTCAGCTGTAGTTATCTGCAGTTCATCCAGAGGGATCATGGGCCTCTTGGCTGCATCTCTGATCAGTCTTCTCCTTGTTTGAGATGAAAGTTTGGAGGGACGGCCGGGTCTTGGTAGATTTGCAGTGGTCTGATACTCCTTCCATTTCAATGTAATTGCTTGAACAGTGCTCCTTGAGATGTTTAAAGCTTGGGAAATCTTTTTGTATCCAAATCCGGCTTTAAACTTCTCCACAACAGTATCTCGGACCTACCTGGTGTGTTCCTTTGTCTTCATGGTTCTCTCTGCGCTTTAAACAGAACCCTGAGACTATCAAAGAGCAGGTGCATTTATACTTGATTAGACTTGATTACACACAGGGGCATTCTATTTATCATCATCAGTCATTTAGGACAACATTGGATCATTCAAAGATCCTCACTGAACTTCTGGACTGAGTTTGCTGCACCGAAAGTAAAGGGGCCGAATAATATTGCACGCCTTTTCAGTTTTTTATTTGTTAAAAAAGTTGAAATTATCCAATAAATTTTGTTCCACTTCACGATTGTGTCCCACTTGTTGTTGATTCATGACAGAAAATTAAAATTTTATATCTTTATGTTTGAAGCCTGAAATGTGGCGAAACGTTCTGGCTCCAGAGGCTTGAGTTTGATCGATCGCAGTTGACCCTGAGATGTTAAGAAGAAACCGGAATAGACTTTAAACGGAAGTGGAAATGAAAAAATCTTGAAAATGGTCTACAGAATTTTTTGTCTTATACTGTAGTCTCTCCAGATTGAAATCTATTTTAGCTGTCTTAAGAAATCAAAAAAGGTTTAAACAGTGTGGTTCTACAAAAAGGTACTACAACCTTATATTTACATCTGGGTCAGGTTAAGTGTTAAACTCATTCTCAAGATAACATTTTTGAAAAGACCGAAATAGTAATATTAAGGGAATTTTCCTATCACCAAACTGTGAAATCCAGGCAGCTGTCTTCTGGACTGCTAAATGGGCTATGGAGTATATTCCTGTTGTGTGACCTTTGAGAAAATATTGCCTCATTAGGCCACTGCACCTCTACTGTTCAGAAGACACTGGGAGACCTTTGGTGGACAATGGTATCCTCTCTTCACAGACACACACACACACACACACACACACACACACACACACACACACACACACACACACGCTCGCTCACAGTTTGTAAAGATTGTCACTTCTCACCAAATCTAATGCGGCCTCACTTCGGGGCAGATTCAGTTCAGGGGATAGAGAAGAGTGAGATGGAACAACTGGAAGTGCAGCATATTATTCTGTGCACCACAAGAGACCAGCACATAGCTAGTTTAGCTAGTTAAGAAACATATAGCTACTCCCTATCCCTGTGGGCTCTTACTACCGTCCTGTATGCGCGCTGCAACAATGAAAAGTCCCCACTGTGGGACGAATAAAGGAACTCTTATCTTATCTTATTGGAGGCTGATGAGGGGAATTAGGAAAAGAATAGTTATGGCAAGTGTATACAAAAAGGTATAAAGGGGGCACTAGAAAAGATTTTCAAGTATTGTTATTATATTAAAATCCTTTTAAAGCTACCAATAATGTTTCATTTTATTTTTTTTATTTTTTTTTTAAATAAATGAAATGAATCAAAAATACAATTTACTATAAAAGTTTGTATCAGCCTGCCTAGCCTTTCCTACATTTGGCCCAGGTTTGTTTCAGTATTTACTCAAATGCTTTAAAAGCAATAATTTGGTCCAAATAACTCCTACTACCACCACCACCACTACTACTACTACTACTACATAATAGTGATGATAATAATAATAATAATAATAATAAAAATAATAATACAAATAATAATGATGATGAGGACCCTAATATTAATAATAATAATAATTAACAATCATGAATTGTTCATTAACAATAATAATTTCATTAATATAGCACTGTAAAGTGCTTTAAATGAGCAATCAGTAAAATAAATAAAATAATGGAGTCTAAAATAAGACGGCTGGTGGAGAGCTCAGGAGAGGCGACCACAATAAGTCTTTTGACGCCATCTGGTGTTCGTTTTGTGAAAGTGCATACCTTTCACTTCAGTTACCAAAATTAAAACAACGCATAATATCGTTTTCGCTATTTAGCCTGCGTGTTTGCCAGTTTCACACATATATGTTTTATCTTTTGTTGTATTTTTATACATTTTTTCTTCATGTTTTATGCATAGACTTAGCTCCAAACTCGTCTCAGTGCGCATGCGTAAAACCCCGGTATGTTTTGACACCATTGACACCAATGTATTTGTTTTTTTGCACTGAAGAGATGGACTGGACACGCTAGTATCCTGCTGCGGACACGTACAAGGTCAGAAAGTAAATTTTTACTTCAGCTATGAGTGCTTGCATTTGACATGTTGTCTATAATGTTGTACATTGTTATAAGCGTCTCAAAATGCCAGATCGTGAGCAGAAACACTGACTGTAAACAGCATTTAGCCAATAGCCTGCTAGCATGAGCATGTGCTATCTGCAAAGGCTACATATGTATATATAATCTATTTCGTATAGGTTTGTGGAATTGTTGTCAATATTTTGGTATAAGTTAGCATGGTTTGATACCACTTGTTATTAGCTTGTATATGTTTTTTTGTCCTAAATCATTCTAGTATTGGACAGGTTTTGAAATAAAAAAAGCTATGTGTTGCTTTAATAATTATTTTTGTGGAAATAGCTAACATTTACATATTTTCTTGTGCACAGGTTCACGACTCAGCAGAAGGACTTTCAACTTTTTGCACGTAAGCATTTTTCTGTGGCAAACTATATTCAAAACTGGTTCTGGGATCCATATTATAATACATCCATGGATACAACTCCCAACCGTGTACCGCCTTAGCCACAGGGCACACAAGGGCAGGAACCATCCAAGGTTATTCATCCATTTCTGGGTTGGGGAAAAAGATTAGAGTGAATTAACATGTTTCATAATTATTGACCGATGACTAAACAGGCAAGGAATCTTGAAATCATAATGCATAAAAAATCCACTGTTCTAACAGATATTTAGCAAAGTAGTTTTATTGTGAACATGAACAGGCTTTTACGATCTCTCATTTTGGAGTGCTGTTTAAATTGATAACTTATTTCCTTAGCCTTTAGCCACTGTGTAGCAGGAAGCAAAGTGCAAGATCTATCAATGTTAAATCCAGACCGGCGTCACTGGACTGGTAGTTGGGGCAGGTTTTCAGGTGGGCCTTTTGAAATAGAATGTTACAATGTTTCGAAGTGGAAAAATGATTTTGATCTTTGAGTGTTTAAATGATGAGGGAAAATACTGACATGTTCAAAAGTAGTAAAGGTTTAGCTTACATGACATTTTCCCTTTAAATAATTTATGTATATGTGGACATGAGGAAATTCCACAACATATTACTATCACATTTCAAATTACTGTAGTCCTGTCACACCGATGAAACGGAGCAGAAAGAAGCAAAAACAGGTCTACCTCTTTCTTTCATGTACAAATCAAACAAAATATCTGCTAATGACGGACTGCAGCACTCCTCCTCCAACGCTGTTTTAAAAAAAAAAGTATTTTTATTTAATTTTCTCAATATTTCTTATTAATTTCAGTCGTCAAGTGAGAATAATAATAGAAGGTAAACCTCAAAGTGTACGGAATGGTGAAGCTCTATATCATTGTTTTCTCTTTGCTTATCTAAAGTAAAAAATAATTGGGAGTTTTAATGTTACCGAGTAGGCTTGTTATACACTGTAATGTTTTGCATCATTTGTCGGACAAGCCCCTCTCTATATTAATCACATGGACACTGGTGCCTCCATTTGCATCCTGAAGAAGGCCAACCGAGGCCGAAACGCATTGCTGCGTATTTAAAAAAAAAATTACAGCCATGAGAAAATAAAGGCTTTTTAACTTTCTAAACTATTGACCACGAGTGCCTTGGATTGTTTTGACTTTCTAGGCCCTTCATGATTTGCCTTTACCTGGAAAGTCAACACACTTTAAACCCCTCTTCCAATTGAGCACCTGGTTTTTTAAATAATTTTACACACTTGTACCACACAGCACTCCTTACCCTTTGTTTATTTGTTAGACATTCTTGGGCGCCCTCATGTGACCTCAGGACCCTATGTAGAAGCGCAGTTCACATATTGTGTAGGGCCAGTCCTGAACAGTAACTGACAGTGTTTTGACATTTGTGATACATTGTTTATGTAATGCATGTGTGTTTTTTTATTGTATGCATGTTATTAATGATTTACTTATAACTTTTCCAGTGACTTTCTAAAGAACATCTTCAACATGGGCAACACCAGCAGTGAGCGTGCGGCTATGGGTCACCATGGAGACAAGACCCGGAGAGACAGTCGCGGACACAAAGAGGGACCCAAGATCCTCATGGACAGTCCAGAGGATGCAGACATCTTTCACACTGAAGACATCAAAGTAAGTGCTGCTTCCAATGTATAACCAGATCCATATTAAAGGTCTGTGTTTCGCTTGCAGCCTAATTTAAAACGGGTAAAAAAAATCACAACTGAGTCTAAACATGCATTGTTCATTTTTTACTGGTATCATGTCATCTATACAAGAAAATATAGTTCAATTAAACCCTCTTATTTCCCCTCTGTGTGCAGGCCCCGATGGAGAAAGAGGAGTTCTTGGCCTGGCAGCAGGACATTGAAGCCGATGACAAAGATCCAGCTTTAGACCGGCCGACGGTTTTCCGTTGGAAAGGTGATGGGAAAGAGGTTTTCATCTCTGGATCCTTCAACAATTGGTCAAACAAGATTCCTTTGATCAGAAGGTGAGAATGCTTACTTCATGATCTCCATCATGTGTGTACACTTTTTCTTGACCGATGCACCACAAATTAATATAAAATCCTAAAACGGCTGTCATTACAAATGTCTTTTATATTGACTCTATATTGAGACTCAACATGCTTCATTATTAATATATGTTATAAACATATGTTTATTTGTTTACTGTCCTGAAAATCTAATGTTCCAAGTTCCATAAACTTTTTCAAAAAGAAAAACTTTTTCTGACAATGCAACTCTCTATTGCAATTACATGTTTTTTGCCATTTTTAGATTGATGTTGCAACGTACAGTGGTCAACAAATTAAATGTATTGTGAATCTTTAATGTGAAATAATATTCATATTCATAATAAAATGTATTTTGAATATATATATATAGATTTAGTGGTACTAATGATTAGGTGATCTTTACATACTTGCTATTATGGAGATTCAGTATATTGTAAATATTTTATATATTGTATATTAACAGATGTGTACTATCCTATTTTCTCTGTATTTTATACTGTAAATTTGTACATATTCATAGATATGTATATTCCCGAGTACTTCTATCCAGATTATTCTATTCTCACAAATATTATCTTATTATTATTCTTAGTCTGTCTTAGTCTAAGTCGAAAACACATTAAGCATTGAGCATGTTTATGTTTCAGTCAGAACACTTTTGTGGCCATTGTGGAACTTCCAGAGGGGGAACACCAGTACAAGTTTTATGTGGACGGACAGTGGACTCACGACCCAGCAGAGGTCAGTGTTTAATCTTTTTGAAAGTGAAGCTACTCGGCAAATACTGCACTTACAAGAGCCACATGTGCATGCAACTGTTTCAATATGTTTTTTTTTTAACAAACGAAACATGAGACTTACGTACCTAGCCAAAACAGGATTACCACATTTGCATGATTTTACTGCATAGTTTCATTTTTTGGTTTAATTTTAAAGTTAGGCACTCCAGCTTTAATACTTTCGTTATTTGCTTGTAGCCCGTGGTAACCAGCCAGCTCGGCACGGTCAACAACATCATCCAAGTGAGGAAAACTGACTTCGAGGTGTTTGACGCTCTTATGGTGGACTCCCAGAAATGCTCCGATCTCTCAGGCAAGTGTTTAAACAGCGCCCCAGTGTCTCTGTCATATTCAAATAAGCATCATGGGACATTCAAAGTCAGGCTGCAGCTATAGAAATCCAAAATAAGAGGTTTTTCTGCACGTACATTAGGTTGAATGCATTTTCTTTTTATTGTTTTATTTTATTAGACCTCTCCAGCTCTCCTCCAGGCCCTTATCACCAGGATGCCTACATTCCCAAACAAGAGGAAAAGTTTAAATCTCCACCAATTCTACCGCCTCATTTGCTCCAAGTGATTCTCAACAAAGACACCGGGATATCTGTGAGTGTTTCCTTTTATTATAATAAGAATAAATACTGTATATTGTTCCTTCATGTTGTGTTGTGTTATCCAGTGTGACCCAGCGTTACTACCAGAACCTAACCACGTGATGCTCAACCATCTCTACGCTCTATCTATAAAGGTAAGAAAGCATCCTTCTCATGCGGAAAAACACAAATTTGTATAGTTTATAGTAACATGCACAAGATATACTGTACAAACAATTATTCACAGAAAAATAAATACATAAAAGCAAACAAGAAAACTTGAGCATCAACTTCAGCTCTACCAATATAGACATGCTGTACATTGTTTTAAAGCTCAGAACCTTTTGGAATCCAGTTGCAGGATAATAGTAAGGTACAGGGCTAAGTAGCTGTGAATGTTTTATATTAGGCAGAATAAACAAAAGTAGATGAAGTAAGATAAGAGATGCTTTATTCGTTTCACAAGATAAGTATCTGCTGTTTCTGACGTTCAATGGACATTCTGAGATCGCAGTATTTACTCATTACAGATGACAGTTTCGTCTATACTGACATTTGTTTTGATTGTCTCCATAAATGACGCTATTGTGAGAATCAATATGGACAGGATCATACTCTATTTGAAAGCCCAGAAGAGCCCGAACTCAGCCCTGGACAAGTCTGATTAACTTAAGCCTGGTTCACACGAGACGATTTTAAAATTGTCGGCCGATTTTTTTTCTCCGTGTGAGACCCCACACACGGAGATTAAAAAGTCACGGGTCTAACCACTTTGGTCGTACAGTGTGTGGTGCGCAGCCACACGGCAAAATCACGCAAACCACACACGAACCGATTTCCCCTCCTAGCATTCCCAGATCAGACGTAAATCTCACAAAATCTCTCGAGATCAAGCGTGACTTCAGAATAAACAGAGTGTGCGGGCCTCTACGCTTTACGCAGCCTATAGAGACTCTCGTCTGACCACAGCAGCCACAGACACCATGAGGACAAACACATGTGGACTTTACTGCTCTACAGTTCTCTGGCCCGTACTGTCTGTGCTGTTCAACAGTACAGTTTGTACGGACTACCTGTGAACGCACCACACACACTGCTAGACATGAAACTTTACATACGCGCAAACCAACAAGCACGGCTGCAGTAACGGCTGCATCAACACGTCTGTACTGTATTAGGACAGAGTGCAAAGTAAACGTACAAACACAACCCATCAGTCTGATCATTTAGTACTAATCCCGTCCGAACAGGGCTTATGCCAACACTACCTGTGCAGCAGCAATTTCTGCCCAATTCCTCTCCTTGTCATTTCGGTGATGATGTTCTTTACACGACACGTCATACATGCATACATTCACGGTGTTGCCAGAGGTCAACTAGTTGTTCCTCCCTCTTTCTTTCTGGTGCGCCATGCCGCTGACTGTTTTTTTTTCTTTACGGTGTTTCCTCGCCGGCTCGTCTCGTCTTCTGATTGGCTACACGCCGCAGTCATGGCACCACACACGGAGAGAAATCGGGCCAAAACAATCCAACATGTTGGATATCCCCGATATTGAGATCGGAGCAGTCCCAAAGTCCTTCCGAGCGACGAGCACAGTCTTAACACACCACAAACGGCAGGAAAATCCATCAGATTTTTTGTTACGATATTCAGAGCGTTCTTACGATTGTCGTAGGGGTAAATCGGGTCCAAAATCGGCCTAATTATCCTGCCGTGTGAACCAGGCTTAAAGTAGCGATCTTTCTAAAAAAAGTTTGAACACTTGTGAATTTGCAGTGAATTCAGTTTTCATTTGTGCTTTCAAACACACCCAAAGACGCACACACTCGACTACATGTGTGAATATCCACCAGTCTTTAAAGCTTTTTGTGTCTTACAGGACGGAGTGATGGTCCTGAGTGCTACACACCGCTACAAAAAGAAGTATGTGACCACATTGTTGTACAAACCCATCTGAGGAGCGCGGCGGGCCGGCTCCGGCGAGAGACCGACACCAGACAGGGCACTGAGTTCACTTTATTGCTGTATTACCCCAACGTTCTGCTGACGGAGGCACTTCTGCTGTATCATATCTGTAGATAGATGGGAACGTGCTGCTCATGTTTGTGCACACTTCCCTTTTCACCAAGCACACGAGGATCCAATACATACTCAAACATGCCGTGGCCGTTGAAAGGATTATCAATTATTATTATTATTAGCAAGCAACTATTTAATTTTCTTATTCTAAACATGGAAATGAATGCACTTAGGCCAATCATTTGTTTTAAATAGCTATTACTATAAATATCTTTGGCCCAGTTTTGGCTCAATTCAACCATAACTGAACTCCCTTTGTTCAGAAATATCAGCTTGACAAGAATAGCCATCGTTACAAACATTGAAAAAACAAATAATTCAATCTAACCCCCACGATTTGGACCCAAAACAAAAAGAGAAGGTATGTGATTTTAGATGCATGTTTTTTTCATGTGTCTTTGTCTTGTGAAAACTCCTGGTCTGCTTTTTGCTCGGGTCCTACTGTTGTTGTTTTGCCTGGAATATTCTACTGTTTTTATTAGTTAATTTTCACAAGTCGACAACAAAAAGCAATTGCACACACAACAAAATTATGATAGTATGATTATTAAGTCAAAAATATGACTAATTTACATCCAGCAGGTGACATGTCTGCACAGAAGTGAGTTGATCCAATGAAGGAATTCAGGATTTTGACCTGTGGAAACGTATGATGAAATAATGTACATGTTTTACATTCTACTACATCCAAGTAACACAATGACGTATCCATGGCAACAAGCTGCTTCCAGACACTGTCAGGGAAGTTGCGCAATGCACCTTTTTTGAGTTGCTTTAGTTGACAGAGGTCATCTTACAAATGTTGACAAAACTCAATTTCTTATAATTAGCTACACAGCAACTTCACTTCATTTATTATAACAGATACAGTTGTAAAATATATAATCACAGTTAGTTTGACATAATGTAGATAAATGTGATACCTGGTCTTTAAAAGGGGCTGTTTGTAATATATATATATATATATATATATATATATATATATATATATATATATATATTACAATGTTTTTTTTTTTTTTCATATTTATGCTCACGGTTTCCAAGCAGATTTTCCATTCAGAGGGCAGAATGATTTTCTCATTTAGGCTGCCTATTTGGCTGGTTTTGGCTCTTTTATGTTTTAGTAACTTAACCTCAGCTGATGAATTGTATCTGTAATCTCTGCTTCGGAGCTACGTGAGGTGTCACAGGCAGTACGATTCTGGTAACAAAAGTTTGATAGTGATTATAATGAGTCAAAACTACACACAGTCCTTTTTAAAAAACAGAAAACAAACACATTCCATACCATCTTACTTTTCACAAGATCATAGACGCACAACTTTCACATTGCACTAGCTTTGAAATGACAAAAATGGGTACACTCCTTTTTATAGACATTAACTTTCAACATTTTTCTTTTTCTTGTTCTTCATATTATTAAGAACTGATTTGCTAAACACTTGACTTTGACGCTGACATAGGACAATACATCTAAAACTTGGAAGAATGGACGATACAGCTATTTTTATGAAGGTTATAGACGGTATACAGTAGATCAACAGGGGCACTGAGCCACTATTTTACTCCACTGCTGTTACCTTTTCTACAGCTACAGAGCTCGAGAATTTTGGTACAAAAAGATAAGAACATGTATGTTAAAAAGTTGAGTTACAAATTCGACCGACTTTTTAATCTTTGAGGATGCACAACCCCAATTCCGAGCTCTATAGTTTATATGAGCACTGACTGAATTTTAAGTTATTATTATATTATTGAATATTATATATTTGTTATTTTATTCACTTGTTTGCTGTTGATTGTTGACACATAGATGCACTTTTGTCACAACATTTTCAAATCCATTTTCTCAATACTATTCCTATAAAAGGACCGACCAATTTAATTTTTTTTTGAGCGAATACTGATGCTGATTTTCATTTTTTTGGGGGGGGGGGGGGGGGGGGGGCATTGTCAATTTATCTACTTATATTTTACATAAATGATCGTGGATTTATTATGTATTATTTACATATCTATGTTGGGCAAAATTAGTTATTGACTGAGTGGGAATCGCAGTAAATTACTATGAAATTAAAAATAAAATGGGTGAAATCTCGACTGAATACAGATGCCCCTTGAAAATCAACCCATTGTAATTGACAAATGTATAAATCGGTCAGTTCCTATTCCTGTTTTATTTATTTATTGAATCGAAACAAAAGCACTATTTTACTGAATATTATGAGTGCAGCTGCAGAATGGTATAACAATTCTGTTTTGTGTTTGAAATAGCAGACTCATATACTGTCTGACGGATATGTTTCCAAGTTTGTGTTGTAAGTTGCATGACATATTTAGCCAGTATTTGGTCGCGGCTGTCCTCTTCATATCTGTAGATTTATCGCAAACGGAAGAATGTAATAGTTCAACCCAGGTTTAACGTTTTCATTTCTTTTCACTTATGTAACTACTAATTGTATAGTAGGTTTTATTTATTGACAAGAGAAGGCTGATCTGGTACAAAGCACATTTCCGACAAATGTGACGTATTTTGATGCAATGTGATTTTCTTCTGTTGGACAATCATTTCACTTTTGTTGCATTTTAGTTGTTTTAGTTTGTACATGTTGAATTCTACTGATGGCTAATGCTTCTAGGTGTGAATTTTAAATACATTTATAATAAAGGAGTTGAGCACAACGTATGTTTTTGTGTGTGTGTGTGTGAGCATTCATTTTGTGATTCCCACTCAGAGGTCCTCACTCAGTTCAACCAAGGAGGCACTCACCAGCACGATGCACCACTCACTGTGAAATAGTGCCCTCTAGAGGTGAGCAGAAGTTTGCAGGCCTGTATTTACCATTATGACTACTGGTGTAAAATACTGGTTTGATTTTCTATACCCGGGCAAACACTCATGTCGTCCTTTATTTAAGGGCGGATACACAACAACAGCAAACATCATAGACACAGACGATCTAAATAAATGAGGACTCCCCAATTCAATAAGATACACATGTACAATTGAAAATGTACATTGACGCGATAGAAAGCATTCACACTGATTGACCTTTTGTATTTCAAGTAAAAGTTATACATATTAAGTGTTTATTTCACAAAACAAGTAAAAACACGTAAGACCAAAGCCAGAGAAAAGCATATCTCTTCAGAAATAAAACAAGCACTATTGATAATATGATCAATATTAGTGAAAATATAAGATTGTAAAATATATTGTACTGTTTGTATAACTAGATACTGGGAGAAAACATATATTTATATTATAGTAATGTAACTGAGTAACACTACGTTGAGTTTTTGTCCGAAACACAAATAATGTCACATTGATTATTGTTTGAATGACATTGATCCAAGTTTTGTTTCTTACAATTCTGCTATTTTTCAGAAATGTATCTTTTTTGTTTAATTAACTCTAAAGATTGTCTTTCACTCTTTTATTTGTGTAGCTTGTTACTTACGTTTCACGTGGTCTGTGTCAGTTCTACAGTTGGTGAACGCCTCTTGCTCTGAGCTGATTCGTTCCTGGGTGAGTGTCAAATGTCCACGTTAAAATCGTTCGATGGAAAGTTCACATAGCGATGTTTACTTGTGAGATTTTCCGTCTCTTGACACAGGTGCAGCTGATCGGAACTGTGTGGCTTTCGGGAATCGTATTGTTTCATAATAAACGTGTATTTAACTATACTGCATAATTGTGGATAGAAAATCATTCATTTGCAATGTATATACAGTGCCTTGCGAAAGTATTCGGCCCCCTTGAACCTTTCAATATTTCGCCACATTTCAGGCTTCAAACATAAAGATATAAAAAAAAATTGTCATGAATCAACAACAAGTGGGACACAATCGTGAAGTGGAACGAAATTTATTGGATAATTTAAACTTTTTTAACAAATAAAAAACTGAAAAGTGGGGTGTGCAATATTATTCGGCCCCTTTACTTTCAGTGCAGCAAACTCACTCCAGAAGTTCAGTGAGGATCTTTGAATGATCCAATGTTGTCCTAAATGACTGATGATGATAAATAGAATGCACCTGTGTGTAATCAAGTCTCCGTATAAATGCACCTGCTCTTTGATAGTCTCAGGGTTCTGTTTAAAGCGCAGAGAGAACCATGAAGATAAAGGAACACCAGGCAGGTCCGAGATACTGTTGTGGAGAAGTTTAAAGCCGGATTTGGATCCAAAAAGATTCGTCAAGCTTTAAACATCTCAAGGAGCACTGTGCAAGCAATAATATTGAAATGGAAGGAGTATCAGACCACTGCAAATCTACCAAGACCCGGCCGTCCCTCCAAACTTTAATCTCAAACAAGGAGAAGACTGATCAGAGATGCATCCAAGAGGCCCATGATCACTCTGGATGAACTGCAGATAACTACAGCTGAGGTGGGAGTGTCTGTCCATAGGACAACAATCAGTCGTGCACTGCACAAATCTGGGCTTTATGGAAGAGTGGCAAGAAGAAAGCCATTTCTCAAAGATATCCATAAAAAGTCTTGTTTGACACACCAAACATGTGGAAGAAGATGCTCTGGTCAGATGAAACCAAAATCAAACTTTTTGGCCACAATGCAAAACGATATGTTTGGCGTAAAAGCAACACAGCTCATCACCCTGAACACACCATCCCCACTGTCAAACATGGTGGTGGCAGCATCATGCTTTGGGCCTGCTTTTCTTCAGCAGGGACAGGGAAGATGGCTAAAATTGATGGGAAGATGGATGGAGCCAAATACAGGACTATTCTGGAAGAAAACCTGTTGGAGTCTGCAAAAGACCTGAGACTGGGACGGAGATTTATCTTCCAACAGGACAATGATCCAAAACATAAAGCCACATCTACAATGGAATGGTTCACAAATAGACGTATCCAGGTGTTAGAATGGCCAAGTCAAAGTCCAGACCTGAATCCAATCGAGAATCTCTGGAAAGAGCTGAAGACTGCTTTTCACAAACGCTCTCCATCCAACCTCACTGAGCTTGAGCTGTTTTGCAAGAAAGAATGGGCAAGAATTCCAGTCTCTCGATGTGCAAAACTGATAGACATACCCCAAGCGACTTGCAGCTGTAATTGCAGCAAAAGGTGGCGCTACAAAGTATTAGTGCAAGGGGGCCGAATAATATTGCACGCCCCACTTTTCAGTATTTTATTTGTTAAAAAAGTTTATCCAACAAATTTCGTTCCACTTCACAATTGTGTCCCACTTGTTGTTGATTCTTGACAAAAAAAAAATGTTTATATCTTTATGTTTGAAGCCTGAAATGTGGCGAAATGTTGAACGGTTCAAGGCACTGTATTCTGATATATGGATATACGATCCAAACTAGTTCTGAGGTCAGCCAGTATGACTCTTGTTCCTTTAATTTCTGTAGACACACATTCAATCCATATATATCCAAATATATTTTAACTTTACAGTCACATGACCATATGTGATTCTAAAGCTGAATCTTCCTGCATGTCATTAAATTCAAATGAAAACAAAAGCTGTCTAATTAAACAAATTAAAGTTGTCTTACATTTCTGCTATCCCTATCTATTCGGTGGCCCATGTTTACTATGTGGTTGCTATGGTAACTTGACTATCTAAACTGTCCAACTCGGGAAGTGAAGTCCATCCATCCATCCATTTTCATTTTTTTTAATTTTTTTTTATATTTTTTTTATTTATTTCATTCATTTAAAAACAAATGCAACAACAGCATTTAGCATGAATGAAAAGGAGCAGAAAGAAGTAAAAACTTATAATGTCTGCCCCCTATCAACACAAAATCATTTACAGTTCCAGTTCATTTAACTTTTAAGCTGTCTCATGCAGCCCTCTTTTTCCTTTTCTTTTGTTTTTAAATTTTGGTCCAAGACATCAAAACACAAAATACGTAAATAAAGTTGATCCGCTACTCCGCAGTATCATATTTCTGTAACATTGATAATTTAACATACTTCTTAAACACGCAAATGGACTTAGAAGTTTTAATTTTACAATCAAGACTGTTCCACAGAGCGACATCCTACCCTTTAATCCATTTCTGGGTCAGGGGGGTGGCAGTCAGAGATGCCACCCAAGTCTCATAGCACCAGCCCCTCACTGACCCTCTGCAGGTGGTGAGTCCACAGGAGGACGGCTGCTCTCTGAGTGTGAGCATAGCCTTGATCTTTCAGTGGGGGCTTTGGGCAAAGTGGGGTTAAGTGTCTTGCCCAAGGACACAACGACAGCAGTCATCAGTGGGAGTCGATGGAGAAGGTGCAGAGGTGGGAAGTGAAGTCAAACACAATAAATTACTAAATAAGAAATTATTTAAAAAAAGGACGCTATTGTAGCTGTTTCTCAATTGTAAACTAGCATTGGGCAAGTTCAGTTGTTGATTTGGGCCGCTTGAATTACTTTGTGTTTCTGTGAAGTGCATTTGTGTGATGTTTGGTTTCAGCAGATTTCTTCTCAAACTGTTTTATGTTTGCATCCTAGATGTTCTTCATCATTTTCCATTCTCTCGCTACCTTAAATCATTCTTTGTCACCTTAGACCCGATCTCGGTGCTCACTGCTCTCACTGAAATCACATCACCAAAAATGTGTACTCTTTTGAGAAATGTTTATTTTATTCCCCCATAGAACTTATCAATCTTTACCCACATGTTTGACAGTAAACTTGATTTTATACTAGGTCAAGTCATAAATATTGTAAACAAACAATAGAGAATAGTCACATTATTTACATAGCAGGACCCTGTTTTTAAATCGTTTCCCTATGTTTATCCGTCTTTAGTGTTTTGTTGTTGTTGTTGTTGTCTATTGTGCACACTGTAATTTTGTTTTTTAAAGGGGCATCATGCAATTATTTGTTTTGACTCCATATAGAGATGTATTTCTTAGATTTTTTTATGGGGCCTGTTCTTTCCAATACATTGGTTTCTAGGATGCATAGGATACATCTAAAAACGATACATGTAATAAGTCCCCTTTAAAATCCAATGGAATATTTGCACAGAATAAAAGTGACAGAAAATACACAGAATACAATTGACACTGTGAAAGAAGATCATTTAAAATTTTGAGATTTTGAAAGATTTTCTAGACCTATGTGTTCTACGTTTTGTTGTGTTTGAACTGTTTGATTCTCTGATCAGTGTTGAAGATTTCAATAGTTTTGTGAAGTCCTCTGAGATGACCACTGTTGTGATTTAGAGCTATACGAGAATACATTAAAAAGAATTGAATTAAAAAAACAAGCACGACAACAGACACAAAACTCGGCACGTTAAAAGAAGCAGTAAATCTTGGAGTTGATTAGTTTTATAGTGTATTCTGTGATTGTTTCTCTGTTGTGTTTCTAACATTGTGCTTGTCACATAACATTTGTCTGTCAAAAGCCTACTGTATCTAGCACAAGTGCTGCATCATACTACAGTACGTCAGTTTGTTTGTGTTTTCTGTCTCTGTCCCAACTCAAATAAAGGTGATAGACTGAAATATTTCATGATTTAAATCAGGTGTAACTACACATGTGAAATAACCTTAATCTGATCTGCCGTATGGGCTGTGGCAGCTGTGGAGCAAGCGTGGGATTTTTACTTTCTCTGACAGCTGCTGGAGTTGAAAAAGTGTAGCCCTGAAAAAAAAAAAAAAGCATACGGTGTCCTCTTCTGGGGATAAAAGAGCCCTGAGGAGTCCCTGTGGATCCACTGTCCACTGCTCCTGGAAGTGCCTCCGACTGCCCGACCATGAAGACTGCCCTGGCCCTGTGTCTGCTGGTTGCTAGCCTCTCCCTCAGTGAGTCAAATACTACACTGCAAGAAATATGGGAAAACTCTAATTAGTATGTACTTTATATGTGAGTGGTATGTTGACATCTGCCGTTGGTGGAAGCCAAAATATTTTTCTTATATTACAGGTGAAACTTTGAAAATTATAATCAATTCATATGGCCATTTATTTCTGAACTTAAACATAAAATATCAAACCAACATATGATATAGATGCATTAATTAGTTAGTAAGTAATCATATATGTAAATAGACTTTTGGAATGCTTTGAAAGTATTTTGTTTTTTAGTCCTAAAAATTTTGTCTCTCGCAAAATTAAAATCTTGTCAGACCATATGGATCTTATTAGAACACATTTTAGCGTTTGTCAAGTGTAATGATACATTTAAAATGATTTGCACAATAATATGAAGTTCATAGCATACATAGACACGTACATATGCAACAATACAGATTCACCATGCAGAGATATATTTACAAATATATTCACTGTAACTTTATTTACAGTGTATCAGTTTGATGATGGACACTATGATGACTGTGTTGCAGCGCTCTCATTGGATTACAAAGCTTTGAACCAGTTCCGTAAAATGATCTTGTGCGTGATGCCGGACAGCTGGCCTGCCCTGGATTACACGGACTACGGATGCTTCTGCGGGTATGGCGGCTCCGGGGCCCCAGTGGACGACCTCGACAGGTAGAATAACCAATCAACAACAATGATAATAATGATATACATCACACTTTTATGGCGTTTTACGAGGGGACAAGTTAATCAGAAAATAAATAAAAAGTTACATTAAACAGTGACGGTAGTTCTGACAGGTGGGTGTTGAGCAGTGATTTAAAGTTCTGAAGTGAGGCAAGTTCCTGATGTGTTGTGGGAGTGAGTTCCAGAGAGTGGGGGGAGCACATTTAAGGCTTGGTCCTCCAACGTTCTCTGCACTTTGACTGAGTGAAGAAGTTGGAGACGGCAAATCTGAGGCGATATATCTGAGATATAAAAAATGCATATAGACCTATTCACTATCTATTTTATATTCATTGGCGAACACTACACCTGTGTTAAAGGTGAATCTAGCATTCAAAATATGTTGCTATAGTATTATAAGTACCCCATGGTAGAGTATTGTATATTATGGGATGCACTGCGCAGTATCACATTTGTTTTAATATCGTATGTTGATTAATTGCATTGTATTCTGTGTGTTTTTGTGTTGACTTGTGAGAGGGGGTTGGGAACAAAAAAGCATCTGTTTCATTCAACCCCTTTTCATTTAAAGACATGTGACATTGTGTTCTGTAAGTCAAATAACTCTCTAAGTAGCTTCCGAGAGAAGAGTTGGATACTACTTTAAAATATTCTCACTGATTGGAGTGTGTTTGGTCCCAGGTGCTGTCAGGTGCATGACCAGTGCTACTCTGATGCCATGCAGCACCCTGACTGTTGGCCCATCTTCGATAACCCGTACACCGAGCTGTATCACTACAGCTGCGACAAGGACAAGAAGAAGGTCTCCTGCCTCAGTGAGTCACTAAGAGCAGTGAGAACAGTCCAGAGTCTCTGCTCATGAGCACACACAGCATGTGTCATAGAGCACCACATTCTTTAGCCACACAGGATATTTCATACACCACAATCAGTATAGTAAGAATTCTAAAGCTAATCTCTGTGCTATTGTGACAAATCGAGAAAAACAATGCAACCAGTAATTACGGCTGTTAAATGAACTGGCCTCAATTGAAGACAAATGAATGAACACATGGATGTTTAAGTTTGTTTGTTTATTTATTTATTTATTTCAGGCATTTTACTTTAAACACTGGGCACACGTCAATTCTTGTCCATCATAGTTTCCAACAAAAAATAAATAAAGTATTGCTAATGTTGCGGAAATTCTGCACATAACGAGAGTAAAATAATGTAAACAACTCAGACCTGTAATTACAAACAAAGTGTGAGTTTATTCGTTAGTAAATGTGCACAATTACGATGAATAACAGAACCGATACCAATACCACCGGGCAGCCGTCCGAAATCGACTCCCCCGATTGAGGAAATGACTGTACATTAAATAGACCAGAGTAAACAAACACATATCTACTCTAGATATTACATAAATGAAGTCAACATTGATACGTGTCGCTCAAGGCTTCTCTTTACGCGTCCTAATGCTTATACAACTCTGATATATGTAACAATCTGCTTTTGAACTGAACATATTGTTCTATGACCCAGGTCAAAGACATGATGCAGCACGTCTCCATCTATCACTGACCTGAGCCAACAGAGCACTATGGCCTGTATCTGAATCCAGAGTTCACTATTAGTTAATAACTTACACTCATAACTATTTGGTGTTAATTCAGATTGCTTTACTAAAATATTTCTATAACACTAATATGCATTGGAGGATGTCAAAGCGGTGTTGAAAATAAGGATATTCCACTCAGTTATATCAGGGACTTCTATATTGGTTTAAATGCCTGTCCTCCAAGTTTCATGTCATGTAATAATTCCACTTTAAGGATGTTTGTGTGTAAGCCATTATTCAGGACGATCCATCAATTCAGGCCCTGTCAGGTTTCTCACATTTTTTCCGCATTGGATTCTTTGTGAATCATTTATAGATGAATATTTATTGGTCGTCCTGTTCCCTTTGGACCAAATGGCTCTTATGTGTTTGTTATTATTGCATTTCCTGTGTTAAAACTGTGTAAGAGTCTTTGAGCTGGTGTTGGTAAATCTGTTATGATTCAGGGCTTTACACAAACACACTGAAATTGAATGATTGAATATTTAAAGCAATGACTTGCTGTGATTGTTAAAGCGTGATCCTCTCCTTCCAGGCGCCAATGACGAGTGTGAGATGTTCATCTGTGAGTGCGACAGAGTTGCGGCCGAGTGTTTTGCTCGATCTGAGTGGAACCCGGAGCATGAGCACCTGCCCAGTGACCAGTGCCACTGAAGCTGAAACTACGCTTCCACTTTCGAGAACAACACTCTCGTGAAACCTAATAAATTAATTTATGTATTATTGAATCAAACTCTGACCAAGTGGCACCTTTCCCCATATCCTTGTAATATATTGCTCTAAAAATATTTATTGATGTACATTAAACTCCTGAATCATTATGTGACAAACGTTTGTTTCGACTTGGGTCTGGTGCAATGAGACTTGGGTGGCAGCTCTGATTGCCACCCCCCCCACCCCTTTGACCCAGAAATGGATTAATAAAGAGGTAAAAAAAATGACAGGACAGTTTGTTTTAATGGTTCCAAGAATGTTCGTTTCTATTTTAGAGATTCAATGAGACAGAAGAGTAAATTATTAATTCAAAAATCACTGACAATAACAGATAAAAAACAAAATAATCATATATATACTGTATAAAATTAACACAAGTAAATTGTCAATGAGTTATATCTTCTGCTGTTTCCACATATTTCAATTATGTTGCACCCATTTCCTGGATGCCCAATAGTCTGCACACTATAAAAACAGTGTTCTATGCAATGTATAATAATAATAACATTTTGTATAATATTATTGTAATTTTCAGAACAAGCCTATTAAGCCATATATTTGGTCCAGCTGTCCTCTGCAGCTGTATTTTACAGTATATGCACAGCTTTTGACAGCTGCAGCAGAGCTCAGACCAACAACAAACAGGTTTTCTGTTTCTGCGTTCACACCTCAGCAGTTGTGAGTTCAGGTGGTTAGAAAAGTGTAGAAAGTGTGTAGTGAGTGGTTTTACAGCCTTAAAACAAACAGCTGCTTCTTTCTACTGCTACTACTGCTAGGGATTTCACTAACTGTTGGTTGATTTTTTTTAGAACAAATTACCCCAGTGATAAACAAGGGAGCATGGTATTCTTTTTGTTAAAAAAAAGTAAAATTTAAGTTATAAAACCTTTATAATTTAACTTATTTTTGTAGTGTGGTTAAGAAAATAGGTAGATCATATTTTTCATCATCATGTAATTGAGTCAGTACATAGTATTTGTTAAATGCTTGATTTTAGATGCACTTGAATGCCTGACTTATGTCTGTGAGCCACAGAAGAATCGAGCCACAGCTGCAAAGAGTCCTTTTTCAGCAGCATGCAGATCATCTCTCCCTGGTCTTACAGTTTGAAGTTAGACTTTTGAACCAGAGCTCGTAAAGGGAAGCTAGCCACAGGCGGACCATCCAGGATCGGTGATCGCAGATAGTGAAGATAACAGTTTCACTTAGCTTGTGTAGACAGTGCTTTTCTGTTCTATTCTCAAACTCAAGGACTTCAGACGGACTGACCAAGTCCAGGACAAGAGCTTGGATTTCACACAGCTCTTCTGATCCTCTCCTTGTCTCTGGGACGACATCAAATAGTCTGACCAAGTCTGGGTCGGGATCAACATGTGCCTCCACAATGTAGATTTCAAAGCTAATTGTGTAGCCCCGCTGCACAATCAGGTATTTTTGAGTTTTCTATGTTTTTTCTTTGTTGTTTGTTATATATTTATTTACTTTTATTGTTTCTTTTTTTTCTTTTTTCTTTCTTTATTTATTTATTTATTCTTTATTCATTTATTTATTAATATTATTAACTATATATTTATTTTTTATTATTTTCTCCCCTCATTTCATCTTATTTTATTTTTCTCTAAATAACTGTGGTCATACTGTCTGCAAAACACTTATTGATTAATGTATGACTGCAAAAGAAAACCAATAAATTATAAATTACACAATGTAGATTTCTTCCTGTGGAATCTCTCCAGCCTCTGTGATGTGTTCTGGGTAGGATCCAGGGGCAGTCATCTCTTCACTTAGAGTAAACGCCTCCTCTTTATCCTTGTGGAGTACAATTCAATTAAATTTGTATTTTTATATTATATAAATGTTAATAATCTATACCTGAGACCTTGTTGGAGTAACGTCTTTTATCTCCAGCAAAGGGTGGTACTGGGACACTTGGGTTCAGGAGAGGCCTCAATGTGGAGTTCTTGAATCCCTTCTGGATGACTGTACATCTCATATAGTTCATGCAAACCCTCTGATCGCGTCTCAATATGGAGAGCCTGTACACTGTCTGTGTCTATCAGGATATTCCTCCTTATGGTCCTGATCTAAAGATGAGTCAGGTGCTTCCTCCTTCATGACAATCTTGGACTACTCTTATTCCTCTTCAACCATCTGGTGTACAATTACATTAAATTACATGTATTCATTTTTGTATATCCCTAAATCTCAAAGCAGCCGTCTCTGAGGACTTTACAAACAACAGGTCAGAGAATCAGTCAGTATGAACACAGGAAATATAACAATAACAAAGGTCCATAAATGTCATTACCTGTACTTGAGGATTTGTTGAAGTAATGACTTTTATGTCCAGCAAAGGGTGGTCCTTGGGGCAGTAATTTTGATCACTGGACCTCTCTGAAACAACAGTGTCTGTTTTGTGGATGTCTGTCTCTAAACTGGTTTATAGGTTTTCATACAAACCTTTTGAACCAGTCTAAAAGTGTCCTCACAATATCTGTGAATCTAAAAAGGAAAATCAGTTTATTGTTAATGTCAAAATAGGTATACAGTCCATTTTCTGTATGAACAGACTAAAGATCTGAGTGAACATAGTACAAGCAGCTCTTGGAGACAGCAGAGTTGAAGTCTAGCATCTGCTGTATCGCCTCATCAAAGAATTCTACTGATGAAAAGCAAAATCTAACATGTTAGCATGCTATTATGATCCGGCAAGGAACCACTCAAAAAGCAATACAACATGTAAGAAACATCGGGGATGCGCATATTTAGAGCGGGCTCTGCTCTTATCCCCATAAAACAAAAAGAAAAACAACTGATGAGAAAGCAATGAAGTATTGATTTGTGACGTAATCACTCAATGATTAACAAAAAAACTAAAGCCTTCTTTCTACTTTCTTGTGGCCTGGTAACACACTGCCCTCTCCTGGAGAGAAAATGTATAACTCACTGAATCACTATTTTCATACACATTTTGTGTCAAAAGTTTCCCCTGGCCTGAAGTGCTAAACACTGTAAGCGCATGGTTTATTGTAAAATATTTCTAGTATATCCTTCCAAAAAAAGATGCAGATGATATATTTAATTGTTTGATTTAATTTCATACTTGCGCCATGGTTAGAGATCGTATAGAGGTCAACTCAAATAATTCACTATAAATCTCAGCAATGGTCACGAGTTCAATGATCAAATTTAAAGCTGGTGAACCTAACTTTACTTATTAATTAATATTAAGTTTATATGTGGGGGCTACATTGGCATCCTTGGGCAAGACACTTAACCCCACGTTGCCCGAAGCCCGGTGAAGGACAAAGGCTGTGTCACTGACGGACTGGTGCTATGAGCATTGGGTGGCAGCTCTCATTGCCACCCCTCTGACCCAGAAATTGACTGATAAAGGGGTAGAAAATGAATGAATTAATTAATAAGTGAATTAATGTTAATTAATAAGACGTTATTATGTTGTTGAACAGAACAGAAATAACATTGGAAAGGTTGTGAACAAATCAGACCTCAACATCCCATCTTCATCTCATTAGAAAACATGTTAGTTTGAATTCTTGTAAGAAACAGCCCTGTGAGTCACATCTTGGGCAGAAAGCCAAGGAATGAAGGAGGTCTTCCCTGATCTAAACATGTGGCCATCACTTGTGCATGTGAGATCTAGTCATAGAGCCAATCTGTTTAGAGAGCGAGGAAGTGGCTGGATAGATTTTATTACATACAGACATTGTTTGTGGTTTGAAATGTACGTACATGAGCTTTAATACTGCAACCATTAAAATACCAATATCTCTTTATAATTGTCTTTTGCTGCAGTCACCACAAGAGCGCAGCACACTTCATGTATCCACTTCTCTTTGTAATTCAATTTGGAGAAACTCAAACAGACAAACCATGGGTATTAGAATTATAAGTTGTTTGGCAAGTAATATGAAACTACATAAATTACACATCTGAGGACAATATTTTCAAGATACAATACAATACAATTTATTCTTGTATAGCCCTAGGTCACAACAGAAGTCATCTCAGAGACTTAACAAAACCATTGAATTCACCAACACAGGTCAGAGAATCAACAGTTAAAACACATGAAAATATAAAGCACACACAGAAGAAAATGTCCATACATGTTGTAGAATGCTAAAGTGTCTTGATCATTACTAATCCTTTCTGTTGGACACTAACTGTCCAACAAGACCCTCCTGCATCAACAAGGAAAAACTCTTAAAAAACCCAGTGGGAAAAAGTGAGGATTACATTTATTATGCTGTAAAGAATGTTGTTAGAATTTGGCGCTTAGACCCTGGCAGAGCACTGCACGATTGCAGAAGCGGAGAGAGATTATGAGACAAAATCCCCCGGAGCCTCGACCCTGGTGGTAGCTACAGGAGAAGCATGAAAGAGCTGGACTGGAACGCAGCAGTGATGGGGAGGAGGAGGGTTGCGGCGTGAATGAAGTTGCGTGTGGCGGTGCGCAGCTGAGTGTGATGGACTGGAACGCTGTGAGCTTAGTTCTCCAGTCTTTCAGTCTGAATTTCCGCTTTAGCTTCATTTCTGTTGCCCCATTGAACTGCCACACATAACAGTCCCGTATTGACTCCTGTTTCCGCTGGTTCCTTACATAAGTGAAACCGACCTGTGGGATAAGTCTCATTTTACCGCTCTGACGTCGGTCTGTCTTTGTCGCCTCATCTGTTACTTTTGATCTTTGAAACGGGACACCGGAACAGTCCCACTATGTGCAATGAATGAGTGAGCACTGTGGGGAATTCTGAAAGTCTGGGCCTTTTCGTGTGCAAACTCTAACTGTTCTTTAACATGAACACGGGTGGGAAAATGGTGATGCAACTTTGCTATGGATAATTTTTTCCAACATCCAAACAACTCAAAAGCATTTTAACAGCAATCTTTGTCCCATATCCTCATGCTGCTAACAT